TGCCAATCCCTGTGTACGCCCTTGACTATAATTCATATTAAAATATATGTCTGCCTTTGAATTATATCACAATTTCAGTAAACGATTTTGTATTGATAAATAAATATGCTGACCACTGTAATATCATTAAACTTTTATTTAATTTTTTAATTTTTTCTTTAATAAACCAGCACAAAAATAATAAATTCATGAATAAAATCAATGATTTTTAAGTTTAAGAAATGTGTATCCCCCCCTCTCCCCTCCGAACCTAATCTAATGTGGACAAATGTTGTTTTATAGCAGATGGATCAACTCAGCTGTAGAAAACTTTTAAATTAAACTTTACAATCAGAATAACACAATATAAAACAGACCAGCGTCAACTGAACACTTTTTACAATATGTAAATGGCAAAAATGATTCATTCTTTTCAGAATTTCTGATTATTCCCGAAAATCGCAATTTGAAGCTATTAACAATCTAATAAGACAAATAGACAATATGTCACATATGTATTAGATAAGCAACGAAATCTAAATTTTACAAATGAAAGTCGTCTTATTCTCAACAATTTACTCTTCCTTTTTAAGTAACACTGTATTAGTGTATTATATTTAATAATATACATTGTAAGCAAATAGTGTGATGTAAAAAATGTGAAGAATTACAGAAATCAAATAAATGAAGATATTAAAAGTCGTCGTTGTTTTCCTCTAGTGATTTGTACGAATATAATTTATCAGCCTCAAGGAGTAAGGAATAGAAGGGAGATATAACTGATGCGGTTCGCCCTACCATATGATTATGCATGCTTTGCAGACGGTACTTCATTTGAATAAGAAATATTTGTCTGATGTACAATTACCGCGTATATACAATAACCTATTCTGAATATTCCTTTTACAAATGGAGTACCGTCTGCAAAGCATGTATAATCATATGATAGCCTTCACATCTTCATCTATATATAAATTTGGCTTGTCTGTTTGTCTGTCTGTCTGTTTGTTTGTTTGTTTGTTTGTATCCAATAAACGTCAAAACGGCTGAACCGATCGGGCCCAAATTTTTTGTGGGACATCTAGGGACTCCAGGGAAGGTTTATGAATCATCAAAATTTCAAATATTTGTCTCCATCAAAATTCGATCGTCATTAAATTTTTTAAAATTTTGAAAATCCGCGAAATTTTTTGTGAAAATCCGCGAATTATTTTTGTTTTGTTTTACGATGTACACAAAGAGAACATGTTCACAATTAATTTAGGAGATGGGCGCGAAGCGCCCTCTAAGGCTAGAAAGAAGGGCGCGAAGCGCCTTGAATTTCTAGTTCTTTAAAAAATAAAAGGATATTTAACTAGGTAAGAATCATTGTTGGATGACGACATTATGTCTAAAGTATCAGAAAAAGAATATTCAGGGTAATCGGGTGAATCGGATCTTGACATCCTTGACATACACAGAGAATGAGACTACAAAGAGACCAGAAACTCTCAAAGTTAATGGATTACAAGTTGCCTTAAGTCTTTTAATGGCTTGTTACAATGAAATCAAAAAGTAAACAAGTTTACAGTTGCCAGATATAATGAAAACTAAATTCCGCGTAGTTGTGTCTGAGGTCTCATAAAAGAGCAATATTTTATAATTTATAATTCATAAATCTAAGTAGTACAAAAAGACGATGTTTAAGTAATCATCTCATTAATCCCATGTCTGTAGGGACGCCTTGTGTTTCTAAGCGAGAACTAACTTTTTCATCTTTATATTTCTTTAAAACTGAGTTTTTGCATATTTTTACTTGGAGTTCCGAGTAAATAATAAGTTTTCCTTCTCATTCCCCAATCTTAGAAATTTTATTTTCCTTCAAGATGAAACGAAAAGTTTCATAACATTTATGAATTTGAATAGAGAGAGGGGGGGGGGGGGTTAATTTTAAAACTTTTCCTAACAATTTGTATAGTTTATTATTTATCAATAATAAAATATGTAACAAAGGGTCACTTTTGGTAAAAGAAAAAATATTCTTGCCACAAACTCAACTTTAATCATCTCTATGTATTTGTAACCTGATTATGTAAACTTTTGGTATTCGAAATTCAAACTTAATTCAAACATAATTCATAGTTTTAAAGGAATTGAGTCTTTGTAACAAACTCTAATTTTCCAATACCTATATTTCTTCCACCTGATGGTGTAAACCTTTGATATTTCAAACTTAGATTTTTTCATCTAACAGAATTCATAGTTTGAAATATCTAAGTTCTACGGCATTGGGTTACAAAGATATAGAGATTAGAAAACCATAGTTTGTGACAAAGACTCATTTCTTTTTTAAAGATCTACGACTCTGTTTGAAAAGATATAGGAATTAGAGATTGATAGCTCAGGATAAGAATATGGCAAGTAAGGAAGAGGACAGATTGGAATGGACTAGAAAGTAAACGGTAAAGAAGATCAGAATATAAAAAGTAAGGAAGAGGACAGATTGGAATGGACTAGAAAGTAAACGGTAAAGAAGATCAGAATATAAAAAGTAAGGAAGAGGACAGATTGGAATGGACTAGAAAGTAAACGATAAAGAAGATCATAATATGAAAAGTAAGGAAGAGGACAGATTGGAAAGGACTAGAAAGTAAACGATAAGGAAGATCAGAAGATGAAAGTAAGGAAGAAGACAGATTGGAAAGGACTAGAAAATAAACGGTAAAGAAGATCAGAATATAAAAAGTTAGGAAGAGGACAGGCTAGAAAGAGCTAGAAAGTAAACGACAAAGAAGATCAGAATATGAAAAGTAAGGAAAAGGAGAGGCTAGAAAGAGCTAGAAAGTAAACGATAAAGAAGATCAGAATATGAAAAGTAAGGAAATGGAGAGGCTAGAAAGAGCTAGAAAGTAAACAATAAAAGAAGATCAGAATATGAAAAGTAAGGAAGGGGACAGGATGAAAAGGACCAAAACTCGGAGAAAGTACGATAAGGTGAATCAGAATATGAAAAGTAAGAAAGGAAACATGTTAGTAAATGGAAAGGACTAGAAAGTAAAAGGTAAATAAGATCAGAATATGAAAAGTAAGGATAATGTGCAACATTTGTTCCTTATATCGGCTAGATCTATATTTGTACAATTAACCCCCCAGTGTGTAATGACGCTGGTTACAATATATGATTGTTTCCTTGTCATATTTACATATCTGACTTTACGTAGTCACAGATGGGAGATCATGGGTGCCAGCACGATCAGAGGACATTTTGAGATGGAAAACTCCGAAGGGACAAATTCTAGGATGACAAACTTGGAGGGAAAATTCTAGAAGGACAAACTAGCTGAGGAAGGACGAATTGAATCTTGGATGACAAACTCTGGAGAGACAACTTCTGGAAGGACAAACTCTGGAGAGACAACTTCTGGAAGGACAAACTCTGGAGGGACAAATTCTTAAAGGACAAACTCCGGAAGGACAAAGTTCTTGAATGAAAAACTTTGGAGGAACAAATTCTGGAATGACAAACTCTGGAGGGACAAATTCTTAAATGAAAAACTCTGGAGGGACAAATTCTTAAATGACAAACTTCGGGCGGACAACTTCTGGAATAACAATCTCTGGAGGGACTCCAGAATATTTCTAAAAATGATATATAAATTTTCTTATTCTAACTCGAAAAGTGTTTCTTCAAAGCAATAAATGCGCAATTCACTTTTTAAGAGAACCACAACTGCAATATTAAACAGTTTTGATAAACAAAATCATGCATATCTAATTCATACTTGGTCAGACAAAGCTTTAAAGGGTACCGTTGTGAATATAGCATTTCTGTCTTTGCATAGAGCGTCACTTGAAATACGTTTACAGTCTCTTTAGCCTTGTATGTTTTACTATTTTTGTTTGATATATGTTTGTTGATATGTAAGCCTGATAATGTATAAATGGTCCATCACTACGTTTTATTTCACTTATGATAGCTTACAGTCACATATTGCAGTACTGAGTTTAAATAATATTGCTATTGTTCATATATATATATATCTATTATATTCTGTATTTTAACCCGTCAAGATAAATTTGCATTCGGTCATTCAAGAACTGGCTTTTTTGCGATTGGCTGCCGTTACCCGTTCTATAGTTGATTGTATCCTGATCGTGTGAAGAAAGAATGGATTTTTGTTTTTATTCAAATTTTATTTTATTTTCATATTTAAAACCACGGGGAAATTGAATTTTTATTTTACAGGAAATTGTTCAGAGAGCGTAAAATTAATCTAAAATAAAGAGTTTCGTGAATAAAACCATCAATATATTTGCTTATTCCCCTTAAAGTGTCGTGAAAAGGAAAAATAATTATTGCTAAGTGTAAAGGGACTGTGATCGAAATTTCATGTGACCTTACATTTAAAGAAGAACATCTTTATATTTATATATATATATATATGTTAGCTATAAGCTGGGTAAACGGCTGGAACAATCTGGCTGAGGAAACTGGAGGAAACCCAGTTAAGTAATAGTTAAAATATCTACTTTAATATATAAGGGAATTGAGTTTTTGTCACAAACTCATGTTTTCTAATCGCTATATATTTGCAACATCAGGTTGCACAAATATAATAATTAGAAAATTTGAGCTTGTAGCAAAAACTCAATTTCCAAAAGTCTTTTTGTCATTTGAAGTAAATTGCTTTAACATCTGATTTGCTGCCACGTGTTTAGGCATTTTTATCCACATAGTAAATATTAATAAATGTCAGACAAATTAATATTAAGTTTTATCTCTTTTTATATCATTTTGTCACGGTAAGAGAATTTTAGAGAGCAAACCTCCTCTTATCATTTACTATAAAACCGGGATGTTTAAAAAAATATAATAAATTTCTCCGTCCTTATTTACAATACTGATATTTTAGACTAAACATCTGTATAAAGCGTTGTTCTATGCTAATAATTATCTGAATCTTCATTTACTTACTTTTTTTTAAAGCACTGTCATCTTCAATTGAAATATAAAATGAAAGATAAGAAAAAAATTATAGTTTATGAGAAACTCTTGATCCACCATAATGTTTAAATCTCTAGTTTTCTTAGTAATTCTTGCCGTTATTTACCCAGCACACACACTCAAGGTTAGACTTTAAAACAATTTTCAGTAATTTTTTAGAAAAATTTTAACAATTAATAAAGTAATAGTGCAAACAAGTATGTACAAGTTATATTAAACATTAACACTTAAGATAAGATTGAGATAGAAAACAGTTTGAAGTTTACTATTTTGAATTCGTTATTCTCTTATCTTTTTTCGATTTTTTTTATGGGCTAAGGGACTATGAGGATGTAAATCCTCCAGATAAATATCGGAAAAAAACAAGATTTATAAAGCAAACCTGAGGCCGAATTTAAATAATTTGAGACGCGGCTTAAATTTGAGACGCGGCTCAAATATGGTTGGTTCCACCTAAAATTGTAATTAATGTTTCAAAATTTAAGCCGGTGCTCAATTGATACCGGATTTTGGCGGATTGAAACGCGGCTCAAATTCATTAAATTCGGACTCTGGGTATTTCAAGGTTATAATGTAAAGAAAGTTATTTCAGAGGTGTAGGCATCTTTTGTACTACAGTGTACTGTCTCTGGGCGGTAATGTAAACACAAGACAAATAAAAATAAAATAAAAAATCAATGAAATATTCTGGTCATAGGAAACTATTATGTGGATTATCAAAATTATCAAAATTAAATGCTTTTAAACTCGTCGGATATTAAACGAACACTGATGCATCTATTCTTGTTTACAAATTCCGCCCAGAGAAAACTGGTTTCAATATGTACGCAGAGTATACGCAACTGCAATTAACTTTCCTTGCATTATAACCTTGGGGTATTTAATAAATTATAAAAACATCTTATTCTGTCTTGTAAAATTGTTCTGAATGGGAAATGAGTTTTTGCCACAAAATATAATTTTGTAATCCCTTTGGAACCCCTTGTCGTAGACCTTTGATATTTTAAACTAGTGAATTCCGTTAGATTAAAAATATCAAGAGCTTACATTTTCAGGTAGAAAAGATAAATAGATTAGGAGAGTTTGGGGGAAAAAAATAGGAAAAAAACAAAGGAGTTAATAACTTAATTGTATAATTGTACACTTTTTTAGTGCTATGAGTGTGTTAGTGATCTTGGAGGGTCTGCCTGTGATGCTGAAAGTTCTGGAGATCCTGTTGAGTGTCCGGCTGGACAATCTTGTTCTATAACTACAGGTCGGAAATATATATATACAAGGTTACACAGTACAGTACAGTACAGTACAGAACATTACAGTACAGTACAGTACAGTACAGTACAGTACAGTACAGTACAGTACAGTACAGTACAGTACAGTACAGTACAGTACAGTACAGTACAGTACAGTACAGTACAGTACAGTACAGTACAGTACAATACAGTACAGTACAGTACAGTACAGTACAGTACAGTACAGTACAGTACAGTACAGTACAGTAAAGTACAGTGCAGTACAGTACAGTACATTAAAGTATAGTACAGTTCAGTACAGTACAGTACAGTACATTAAAGTATAGTACAGTTCAGTACAGTACAGTACAGTACCATGCAATGCAAGGGATTGTTAACATATTTGAGAATACAAAATTTGTTTTTGAAATAAGGGACATAATTCCCGTAAATGATGTTTTAGAGGACCAGAATAATAAAATACTATTATTCAAATAATTGTCGCATTTTTGCCAACAAAAAAACCATGTACTTTTGATTCATTTTCGCAAATATTTCGTCTGTCCAATTCGATAATTAATGTTGTTAAATAAAAAGAGAAAAACATGTTAACTACAAAGCAATATTCAGAGCAGCTTCTCAGTTCATGTCTATTCATGTTTCTGGTTGTTCCTATTCAGTCAATAAACATAGTTAAACTCTATCATACAGAAATACACCACACCATCTGAGCCAAATCAAAGAAATATTATAAGAAATATTATTTTATCATTGTAAATATTGTCTCTCTATGTTCTATTACTTGATGCAAATCTACACAAATGTATAATGAATATATACCACAAAAATTTAACTCGAAAGTTTCGTTGAACGATACTCTTTTAAGTTTCCAGCTCTGTGCCTAGAACTTTAACATATTCATTACTTCAATCTTTAAGTCATTAAACAGAGAAATCTTTTGTTTACTGAAGACGTTCTTGAATGGAAAATTAATGTATGCCAAACACAGAGATTATTATTATATTATTTAGGATTTATCCAGGGTTTCGAGTTTGAATTCTGGCAGCGAGGCTGCGCACCAGCCGAGGTTGAGGTTGGTTGTGGGGTCGTAGATTATGAATCAGGAGAGGTTAGATTTGTTTTAAATAAGTTTCCTAAGCTGAAAACTTTAGAATGAAATATCCAGATATCCGATGGATTAGCTTCTCTGGAGTTTAAATTCATGTGGAGAACAAGCAATATTTAAACTGGATATTAAGAAAAAGAGTGGTTTAAGCCTTAATCCTGATATCCACCATTCTAAAGTTTTCAGCTCTGATCAAACTAGTGTCGAGGTTTTATTAATTATGTATAAACTTGCTTTATTAGTTATATCAAACTTTCATTAGAAGTGACTCTAAGCGGGGTTTCAAATGTCCCCCATGCAACGATGGCTTTGTCCAATTCACATTGGTACCTTTAAACTCTTTGTCTGATCAAGTATGAATTAAGAAGCTATGTTTATGATTTGCAAACTGAGTATTTCGATTATGTGACTTGCGCATTTCTACTAAAATTTCCACAATATCGATCAGAATATTGCATTGCCATCTTTGTATAGTGCATTGCTTAACATTACGCTTACAATCGATTCCCTTTAATGATAAGTAAATATGTTCATTAATTTATATAGCATTTATAGTAGAGTTAATTTGTTTTGTTTTTAGAGTCTTACTTTCTGTGTTTGCAATACAGACCTCTGTAACGAAAGTCTGGAATCAGCTGGTATTGATGGATAAATTAGTTTTAAAACTGAATATTTTTCCAAAAATAAAAGTGTAATATTTTCAAAAAATATTAGAAATCCTTTAACCCAAACTGAATTTTTATTTCCTCTTATATACCGATTTCCCTCGGGAAATATATTTTGAAATTAGTTCAATTTTAAGTTTAAATTTGACAATCTTTCGACATTGAGCAAAATCAGCAAAAATTTCCTATATTCAGTTCTTAAGTAAATTAATTGAAACTAAATATTATTGCTTTTTTCATCGTTAAAATTGTTAAAATTGGTGCATTTTTAGAAATAATTTTAAACGAGATTTTTTTGTCCAGCTAAAAATATCCATTGTGACCGTTAATAAGCCTTCCCTGGGAGAGTTACCAGAAAAAAAACTTAGGGCCTACCGGTTCAACCTTTGGGACGTTTTATGAACACGTAAAAAAAAATATAAATAAACATATATATATATATATATGTTAGCTATAAGCTGGGTAAACGGCTGGAACAATCTGGCTGAGGAAACTGGAGGAAACCCAGTTAAGTAATAGTTAAAATATCTACTTTAATATATAAGGGAATTGAGTTTTTGTCACAAACTCATGTTTTCTAATCGCTATATATTTGCAACATCAGGTTGCACAAATATAATAATTAGAAAATTTGAGCTTGTAGCAAAAACTCAATTTCCAAAAGTCTTTTTGTCATTTGAAGTAAATTGCTTTAACATCTGATTTGCTGCCACGTGTTTAGGCATTTTTATCCACATAGTAAATATTAATAAATGTCAGACAAATTAATATTAAGTTTTATCTCTTTTTATATCATTTTGTCACGGTAAGAGAATTTTAGAGAGCAAACCTCCTCTTATCATTTACTATAAAACCGGGATGTTTAAAAAAATATAATAAATTTCTCCGTCCTTATTTACAATACTGATATTTTAGACTAAACATCTGTATAAAGCGTTGTTCTATGCTAATAATTATCTGAATCTTCATTTACTTACTTTTTTTTAAAGCACTGTCATCTTCAATTGAAATATAAAATGAAAGATAAGAAAAAAATTATAGTTTATGAGAAACTCTTGATCCACCATAATGTTTAAATCTCTAGTTTTCTTAGTAATTCTTGCCGTTATTTACCCAGCACACACACTCAAGGTTAGACTTTAAAACAATTTTCAGTAATTTTTTAGAAAAATTTTAACAATTAATAAAGTAATAGTGCAAACAAGTATGTACAAGTTATATTAAACATTAACACTTAAGATAAGATTGAGATAGAAAACAGTTTGAAGTTTACTATTTTGAATTCGTTATTCTCTTATCTTTTTTCGATTTTTTTTATGGGCTAAGGGACTATGAGGATGTAAATCCTCCAGATAAATATCGGAAAAAAACAAGATTTATAAAGCAAACCTGAGGCCGAATTTAAATAATTTGAGACGCGGCTTAAATTTGAGACGCGGCTCAAATATGGTTGGTTCCACCTAAAATTGTAATTAATGTTTCAAAATTTAAGCCGGTGCTCAATTGATACCGGATTTTGGCGGATTGAAACGCGGCTCAAATTCATTAAATTCGGACTCTGGGTATTTCAAGGTTATAATGTAAAGAAAGTTATTTCAGAGGTGTAGGCATCTTTTGTACTACAGTGTACTGTCTCTGGGCGGTAATGTAAACACAAGACAAATAAAAATAAAATAAAAAATCAATGAAATATTCTGGTCATAGGAAACTATTATGTGGATTATCAAAATTATCAAAATTAAATGCTTTTAAACTCGTCGGATATTAAACGAACACTGATGCATCTATTCTTGTTTACAAATTCCGCCCAGAGAAAACTGGTTTCAATATGTACGCAGAGTATACGCAACTGCAATTAACTTTCCTTGCATTATAACCTTGGGGTATTTAATAAATTATAAAAACATCTTATTCTGTCTTGTAAAATTGTTCTGAATGGGAAATGAGTTTTTGCCACAAAATATAATTTTGTAATCCCTTTGGAACCCCTTGTCGTAGACCTTTGATATTTTAAACTAGTGAATTCCGTTAGATTAAAAATATCAAGAGCTTACATTTTCAGGTAGAAAAGATAAATAGATTAGGAGAGTTTGGGGGAAAAAAATAGGAAAAAAACAAAGGAGTTAATAACTTAATTGTATAATTGTACACTTTTTTAGTGCTATGAGTGTGTTAGTGATCTTGGAGGGTCTGCCTGTGATGCTGAAAGTTCTGGAGATCCTGTTGAGTGTCCGGCTGGACAATCTTGTTCTATAACTACAGGTCGGAAATATATATATACAAGGTTACACAGTACAGTACAGTACAGTACAGAACATTACAGTACAGTACAGTACAGTACAGTACAGTACAGTACAGTACAGTACAGTACAGTACAGTACAGTACTTTCCACAAGATTCAACAGAATGAGATAGAACGGATACGGGGCATAGTACTGATATCATCTCTACAGTCTACACGTGCGATATCGATATTGACTCTAGTTCTGAACCCTCTAGTAATAAGTTATAAGAAATATATATACTGGAAGTTATTTATGCGTTTTATTAGAGTCTGACTCACGTCCTCTATAGTATAAAAATTTCGTAGAGTAGTTTCTGAAGTCTCATCCTGTATGGGGAACCCTGTATCTTCCAGCAAACACATTAATTGGGCCATTTAGTGGATCCATTTTAGTGAGAACATTGAAATACTTAATCCCGATAAATAGTTGGATCATTAAATGAGATGGATATTTTAATCTGCATGTCTCTGGGCTTCATTTTCAGAACTGATGATTGTGAGTTATAATATAGTGGGCATTTATCATTTCATTAGTTTAGAACTTTTGGAGGAGATAATTTGTTAAATATTGTGCAAAGAATATTAAAATTTACGAGTAAAGAAACCCAATTGAAATTCAGTAATAATAGTATAATTTGTGGTGCAGGATAAAATTTTGTTCTAAAAATTTAGTGAAGTTTTTTATTGTTTCATTAGATCTAAATATTCCAGTATTTGCTTTAAGTTTTTGGTACAGTCTATATACAAATATGTTTAAACCCCTATTTGCCTCAAATTTTTATTGCATGGAAAACTTGGTAGAATCACAGGAACGTTTAAGTTCTTAAATAGAAAAATTGTTAGAAACTTTTCAAAGTGAAAGTGTCGTTTTAATGGTTTAGAGGCAAAAAACTGAAATTTTGAAGTTGTTACAGGTTTGGCTGTGAGTTCAGTTTAATTATAAAATAAAATCTTAATATGCAAAATTTAATGAAAGATGATTTACAATTATATAGTCGAGGTAGGCGGGGGGGAAGGGGGGCTAAATCAGGTTCGACCCTCCATTAGTTGCGGTACTGGTTGTTATTTAGAATCGTGGATATATTTGTTAAATGGATGACTTTAAAGGTATTGTCGTGAATCGGACATGACCCTCTATGAACGGACAGGGTCAGTTGATTAATTACATCTACAGTGTCTACAGTGTCATTAACAAATTTCTCTTAATATTAATATTAAAAAGATGTTCTATAAAATCACCAAAGTACTGTAATTTACATATTGGTTGTTCAGTTCATCTCTAGCTTTCATCATTAAGCAAGACCTAGGTCTTTGCTGACACGTTTCTAGCATCAACTAGGAGTACAGGGAGACAGAGAAAATTGGCAAGTCCAAGTTAAACGCACACACATAGGAAACTTAAGTTATGCAGAGAAATTGAAGAGGAAAACAAGAAAATCAACAAGGAATGCCTGTATTTATCTGTCAACGCTGTATTACCCTCGAGAACAGAGGTTTTTTACCTGTATGGGTCTAGGCCTTCTGTGGAGAAGCTCAACTTGTATGCCTTAGGAACAGGCCTGGTGAGCCAGTTTTTAAGTAAAATATGTAAATATCTATCATCCACGGATCTTCCTAATGTGGAGAAGCATCAAGATCAAGTAGTATTTACAAGTACTGCCCAAGATGTTCTTACACATCAGTTTCAAGACTCCAACTGTTGATAGTCTACTCCTAGCCAAAACTCCTTTTATCACATTTGTCATTATCTATAAGAGGAGATTCTGACATTGGTTCCTACAAATTTTCAAAAAACCACGCTTGGTTTAGTGATCTTTTTTCTTTGCACACCCTGCAACAGAGCTAGGAAACAAAGAAAATTAATTGTGTTAAGATGTATATTTAGAATAGTCATCATTCAACAATCTACAAACCTGCTAAGATAACAAATATTAAAGTCCAGAAAACTTGCAATGGTTGAATTATTTCATGATGGTTTATGGGTTCAGTGTCAGCAGCTGAGATATTGAATTTAGAAACATATGATGACCTGAACTTCTTTGCAACAAACCAGAAATATCAGACAGAATTAAAAAAGAAGCATATGTATATATATATATATATATGTTGCCTGCCTATAGCCGGCCAACCGACTGGACTGATTGGGCTGAAATTGTTTGTGGACACTCATGGGTGGCCGGGGGATGTCATTAGCTAAGAAAATTCAAAATTTTTTTCAACATTTTTTTTCCACGGGCAGCGCTGGTTAAAAACAAATGTTGGGGTGTTGTTTCCCAATTGGGGTTTTCGTGGTTCTGGAATCCCCCTCCTCCCACGGAAGGGTCCCGGGGCCCGAAGAATCCCAAAGTGGGAAAAATTATAATTTTATACAATTTTGTAATTATCTTTTAAAAAATTGGTCTTTGAAGGTGGAGTTACACGGCCTGTACAATTGGTAAAAGTATAGCGGACATTAATCACTCTATTTACAACAGGATTACCCTCAAAGGATGGGACTGTAAAGACGAAATGAAATTCTGAAAATGTAATATTTTTTACTTATTTAATGATTTGGCAAAGAAAGAAACAAGTTGAAGAGAATCTTATGAATATAAGGCCGGAAACAGATACAGTATAAATTCCGTAAGTCGTCTCTGAAGTTTGTTGATAACCCTGTGAAACCCAAAGTGATTAAATACTAAAGTGAGCCAAACTCATAGTTGGATGACGACATTTTATGTCCCAAGTATTTAAAAATAATATATATATAAATTGGTCTGTACGGAGTGCACAGTTC